CTTTCTTCAAATCTAGTAGAGTTTGCTTCATATATATTGGTGCTCTTTCATTGGGAGTATAGTTATTTATTATGGCTATGTCGTCTTGCTCAATTGACCCTTTGATCATGAGATAGTGTCCTTCTTTCTCTCTTATGCTGGTTTTTGTCTTAAAGTTTACTTTATCAGAGATTAGTAGTGCAACTCCTGCTTGTTTATTATTGCAGTTAGCTTGGTATATTTTTTTTCCATCCTTTAACTTTTAGTCTGTTTTTGTCTTTGTGTGTGTCTCTTGCAGGTAGCATATTGAAGGGTCTGGTTTTCTTATCCATTCTGCCTCGCTCTGTCTCTTCACAGGTGCTCTTAATCCATTGACATTCGATGTAATTATCAATAAGTATGAATTGTTTGCTGCCATTATGTTAATTTTTTATAGTGCTGTTTGTTCCTTTGTTCTGCATGCCTTCTTGTGCTGATTTGTGATTTTTTTGTGTGCTATTTCTTGTTGATTTCTTCTTAGTTTTCATGTTCTGCCTGGATGTTCATTTTCATGGTAAGTTGTGAAGTATTAACTTTCTTTGGGGTTACCCTATAGTCTATTAGCTTTTCCCTCCATTTGAGACAATCCATTGTATCCTGTAATCTACCTGACCTCCTCACCACCTGGATCTCTGTTCCTGTATTTTTCCCTTCTTTGACTTTGTTATTATTTTGATCTTCAGTTGACTGCCCAACTCCTTTGAATTCATTGTTTTAATTTTGTTCTGTTCTGGACTCTGCTATTTATAGTCTGATTTTCAGGTGGTGTTGCCACATCTGTCAATCTCTGATTGTTGTCTGTATCCGTTCTTATTTCTTGAGGATATATACCAAGTAGAGGAATTTCTGAGTTATATGGTATTTTACATTTAGGTCTTTAATCCACACCGAAGAAGTGTTGTACCATTTTCCATGGTGATTGCACCATTTTACAATCCCACAAGTAGTGTAGGAGGGTCCCCATCTCTCCACATCCTCACCAGCACTTGTGGTTTTTTCAATTTTGCTATTAATGTAGAGGTGAAATGGTACCTTCCAGTTTAAAGAAAAAAATTTTTTTTTGAATTTACGTCTAATGGTTGATGATCATAAGCATTTCTTCATGTTTGCTGGCCACCTAGTCTTCTTTGGTAGAGTGTTTGTTCATGTCCTCTGCCCATTTTTAAATTGGATCGTCTCTTGTTGAGGTGTTGGATTACCTTCTTGTTCAAGTATTGCTGTGTTCTACAAATTTTAGAGAGGAGTCCTTTGGCTGATGATATATCATTGACAAAAATTTTTTTTCCCAGTCTGTGGGCTTTCTGCTTATTTTTGGTGAAATGTTTTGATACAACCAAGTGTCTAACTTTCAGGAGGTCCCAGTAGTGTTTTTTCTTTTGCTGCTTTGTATTTTGTTATGTTTGGTAGTTTATTTGTGGCATGTTTCAGAGGCCTAAGTTTGTTTATATGTTTTCATAGGCTTTACATTTAGGTCTTTAATCCACATTTTCATTTTTGTATATGGTGTGCTATATGGTTCCTTTTTCTGCAAATGGATTTCCAGTTTTGCCAGCACCATTTGTTAATGAGACTATTTCTTTCCCCATTTCATGTGTTTTGGCCCTCTGGCAAAGATCAGCTGACTTCAGGTGGATGGATTTAGCTATGGGTTCTCAATTCTGATCCATATGCCTTTCATTATATCAGTACCAGTGTGTTTTGGCTGTGCAGTAGATTGGGTAGTTGGAAAATGAGAGGCCTCCTACTTTGTTCTTCTAGAGATTTTTATTTAAGTCACAGACTGAAAAAGACCAAGTGAAGGCAGATAGAAAAACAGTCTAGAAACAGACCTTCAGGGCACACTCATATCAGGTGGTCAGGGAGATAGTTGGTAACCTGCAAAGGAGCATCCAGTGGGGTAGGAGAAAACCAAGAGTGTGGCCTCCAGATGAGTTACCCACTCTGCTGAGTAGCCAAATGTGATGATGGATCCCTGAGCCCCATGCAAGTCTCTGGCCACATCCACCAGAGCTGTTTCAGTAGCATGGATGCAAAACCCCCACTAGCGTGGGTTCAGAGGAGAAGGTTATTTTGCAAGGAGGAATTAAGACTGCAGCTCCATTGTGTACTTATAAAACACTGGGCTGAGGGTGCAGGGAGGTAGGAACAAGGCTTCCAGGAACCACCAGAGTGGCCAGAGAACCTCTTCTAATTCTACCTCTTCAGAGTCACCCATAGGCACAGGAGAGCGAAACAACTTGAGGAGCATCTGCTCACGCAGCACACTCACGGTGTGCTGTGAGATGTCTAACACAGAAGCTGTCATTTCTAGCAGGAAGAGCCCAAGAGTAATCTAAAGGGTGCCCTGGAAGCAAAAGAAAGCCAAGAAAACCAAGAGCTGGGTTAAGGTGGTGGTTTTGTTAAGTGTTGTAGAGTCAATTCCAACCCATAAAAATCCTGTATAGGCTTTCCAAGGAGCAACTGGTGAGCTTGAACCACCGACCCTGAAGTGCAAACGACTTTGCAGTCCCACAGCATCACACCAGGACTCCTAAGGTTGTTAAGTGCTGTCAAATTATAGCAACCCTGTATAGTTTCCAAGGAGTGGCTGGCAGTCCTGTGTTTATCCTACAGCGCTGTATCAGGGTGAATGCTGAAGTTGATACATAATGACTTCTGTTGAGTCTTTCTCCAAAAGTTACTGAGTCTGTTAGAGATGACACAACACAAATTGTTAGCAAATCAAAAAGTTTTATATGATTCAAAAGAAAAATGTTACAATACATATACTCATTTAAATAATAAGTCAAAGTCTGTTACATAAAACATAATTATGAAACATTTACACTTTTATTATTCAAACTACTTTAAAAGGCTCAAAAAAGATCAAGCAAAATTGCTCAGGCAATAAAGTGCACTGGGGAACCTGCCTCATGACAGTTGGCCCATGTCACCCAGGGCCGCTGAATGAGGACTCCACACTGAAACAACACACCAGGGCTCTGCTTCTCAGGGTAAATGGTTTTCAGACGGGAACTAGTTCCCAGCTTTTCCAAATTTATAATGGACACACTGAAAAACAGGGGTCATTTATAGAAGGTATTTCTAAATTTCATCCGGAAATGGAAGCTTAAATTAAAACATCTATTTTTAAGACATTTATTCTTTAAAAACAACAATCCTCAGAGAATGAAGTTCTCAAATACAAGACGACCTTTTTTAGCCTAACTGACATGATTTTGCATTTTTAAGATATGCTAATTTGATGCCATTTCTGGCATCCACAGTAAAAACTGTTTCTGCTGATTTAAGACATGGGTAGGAGAAAGGATTGGGTTGGTAGGAGAAAACATGAGCTATATACATTTAATTATGATTCTTTTGCAACTCATGTTTCATGACAAGTAGGAATACTTAACTATGAAAGTGTTCAAACACATGGAAACTTCCTAAAATACAAGCAGCACTTACATACACATGTCAAATAGCAGTTGATAATAAAGAGCAACATAATAGGTATCAAGTAACATACAGTGAATGGCCAGGTGAGGGCTGTCTGTATCAAGAGTAAAAAAGACCTGAACATAAAACTTAATTATATTTCATTACCCAAAATCTCACCTTGCCATCATTTTAATAAAGGTAAATGACAAAAAAACTAAAAGGCAAAGACAAAATCAAAATACACACTGCACAGTAAAAAATATTCCCAGGCTAACTGAGTAGTGCAACATTTCATGTTCCTTGTATTTCTTCTGTTGCCTGAATTTCTAACAATGTTTAACAAACAAATTTCAGTGGCTGACTGGACACAAGAGGATAGTATCTCCTGCACATCTGGGACATGGACTCACACTGTGTAGAGTGGTCTATTTTCTAGGTAGACTGCAAAATACTTCTCATGTCTACTCCCATCCAATTAATTTTGATAAACATTTTCTTCCATGAAAATCAATGGAAGGACAGCTGGGTAGGATTACTACCATTCACCATAACTTGCATTTCTAATTGTTTTTATTTTGTAATAATGGGATTAGAAAATTGGAGCTGGGCAGTTCCATTTGGTGATAAGTTCATTCAACTAGTAAGGACATTTTCTTTTGCTCTTAAGAAGTTCTTCTACCCATAATGTACTATGGATAAGGCCACATCCAAGAATCTGTGAAGAGTTTGCTTTCAGCAGGGAAATGGCCCCCCAGAACAAATGTTAAACACAGACTCAAATACTACAGCAGCTCCCTGCTCACAGGGTGTATGTCAATATTTTAAGTTATCCTCTAGAGTATACCCTTCACAAGCCACACCATGATTAAAAGTGACTATTTCTAGTTAACCAAAATTTTAGTTCCTTGGGCTGTAAGCTTAGAAGGAATGGTTGCTTGAAATTTCCCTTAAAAATGTTACAAAGGAGCTGCCTGCAGTTTGTTTCCCCTTTTCTTTCACAGGCCCTTTTCAAACAGTTCTGATTCTGAAAAACTCCTACATCTAACAGGCCTGATTGGAGATTTCTTTTTGGTTGGACAATGTGCCAAGTTTATTAAAAGTAGGGTCATTATAAAACTTTATTATTAAACATTGTAAACCAGGTTGTAAAACCATCTATCTAAAAAATTGGTGGGTTGAGCACCAACAATATAAATATTTTTATAGAAAACAGTATAAAAATCAGTACCCTGTCTCATTTCTACAAAACACATGAATAGAAAGGTTGTAAAAATGCAGATTTTGTAAACTTTATTGCCGAAATATTTGTTTGAATGCTGGTGATTTCACTTAAACAAATTTTCTTCCATTTCCTTAACAAAAATTTCTGAAACTACAAAATATATCGAACAGGGTCCCAACGAAAAAATAAAAGTTAACATTTAACTTTCATCAGAACCAGATCCCCCTTGTACCCTAAAACAATTTTTCTGTAGAGGAAATTATCAAATCTCACGTGTTACTTCCATTCCTGAATAAAGCTTTTTAAAAATCTCGTTGGTAAATCCCTGGCTGCCTTTTCAGGCAGAAGCTGGCATGCTCCCTAGAGGACTCCCAGGTTTTGCTGCTGCAACAATTCTGTTCAGCTTGCCAACTTCTGCCTGCCAGCCAGGGACCTTCTTAGTAGTCATGTGTCGCCGGGCATGCTTCGTCAAGTGGTCACTGCGCATGAAACGCCGATCGCACACTGGACATACAAACTTCTTCTCCCCTGTGTGAGTTCTTCGGTGACGTGAAAGTTCATCTGAACGAGCAAACTTTTTATCACAGCCATCCCAACTGCAATTGAAAGGCTTCTCCCCTAAGAGGTGAAAAACACGGAATAAAGAAAAAAATGCTCAACACTTTGTTGGATAGGTTAATTCAAGTAGTCTTTAAAATGTGTTCCAAAAAAAAACTATGAGGAAGAAAAGTAATAGCCTTTTATTCTGATACCAGGTGATTCAAAAGTCAAGCAGTTCCCCAAATTGCATTTTTTCTTTTTTTTGCGCATCACACATAAGATTAGTATGTCAAGGCCCAAAGTTGACAAAATCATCTTTCAAAAGAGATTTTTAAAGAAATATAAATGCTATATAGCCTCGGTTAAGGGTAAGATTCTTGATAGAAAAACTTTATTCTATCAAGATGAGCTGCAAATTCAAAATAAGATCCCTCCCAGGACCTACAAGACCCCTCAGAATCATTCAATTCCACATTTCTATTTCTTATACAAGGAGCCCTTGAGGGTATTGTAGGATAAATAATGGACAGCTAACCACAGGTCAGCAGTTCAAACCCACTACCGGCTTTACTGGAGAAAGGTGAGGCTATTTGCTCCTGTGAAGTCTTAGAAGCCCTGTATAGGTTGCCGTGAGTTGGAATTGACTCAGTGGCAGTGTGTTTACTTCTTATATACTGACAAGGAGGTTAGCTACAAACTAAAAGGGTTAGAGTTCAAATAGTCACCTTCTTGCTATAAGCTTTATGGCTAGGACAGACTAGGAATGTAATTGTTGTCATTCTTTCAAATTTCAGAGCACCCAATAGGTGCCAGGTCCTATGCCTTCTTGGAGTTAAGAGGTAAGGAAATTTATGTTCTCAGGAGCTCAAGGACGCCTTCCTCTTGGGCCTTTCCAATAGCAGGAGCACCCCCTTTTCCACATCCTGAGACCTACTGCATTCAGTTGATTCTGACTCTTAACAAACCTATGGGACAGAGTAAGAACTACTCCATAGTTTCCAAAGTTGTAATCTTTACTGGAGAAGATAACTTTATCTTTGTCCCTGGGAGTAGCTAGTAGGTTTGAACTGCTAACCACACAGTGAGCAGTCCGATATTTAACCCACTGTACCACCAAGGTTCCTTTTATTGCATCCTCAAGCTCTTATCTTTACCAGGCTTAACAACCACATACAGCTGGTGAGGTTTTTATACATTGATTTATTTCAACATTATTATGTAAACTACCTCTTCATGGACTTTGTCTAGTTTATTCACCAGCACACTTTGCTTACCAAGTGGCCAAGTAAGTTTTCAAGAGACCCAAACTAAATACTTGATATTTTTCAGAGTTGAATAGGTTAATTGGGCCTCACAATAGTCTTACCTTACCATTTCAAGAAGCAAAGGCTGAAACTTTCTGGATCTCACAGACTCTATATTGCAGACACGTGTCCTACCTGTTTTCAGGAAACCACCACCTACTGCTGGCAGCACACCAGATGCCCAGGTAGCGCACAAAGACTGGCAGTCCTTTTGTTATGGCACTTACCTGTGTTAAGGGCAATACTTTTTCCAACACACTCCAATTGTAGCCTTCTCTCACTTTACCTTATTCAATTTCTACACTTTACAGGTTAATAGAAACAAATGAAAACCCATCTTATCTGACTGAGGTAAACATATCAACACTACAAAAAGTGCTATTTTTTAAAACACAAGCATTAAGTGTTTACAAAATAACACAAGAAGTTGATTCTACAGAACCTTTAGTTAATTAAATGAAGTACTTTGAGAAACATGAAGAACATGTTTTGAGCATCTTATTTTATACCATTCTGCCAGTACTTCCACCAAAAGAGGACTACTGGGCCCACAGTAAAACCCCATTCAATTGCTATTCCAAATTCGAATCTATGTTTTATATGTGATTTGAAGTTAACCTGGATAGTAACAGTGTAAAGCAGAGCTTACCAAGCAGATGAGCCATAAGAAAAGCGAGTAAGAAGCCCTCTAAGTCACCCATTCACTTAACATAATGACAATGCCACGCTGTAGGTGTAATGACAAATCATCATTTACTAGTGCCTGGCACCATGAATTTATAATACAAGTGAGACAAATATGTAAGAAACTCTAGTACGAAGGAGAATATGGTGAGAAATACAATGAGCCATGTGGGTCAAAGAAGGAAAGAGAGGTCAAGAAATATATCTAATCTCCCATGTAAACTATCACATAATTCACAATAAAAACTTTAAAAAAACAATACACAAATAAATACTAAAGGGAATATAATTGAAACCACCACCACCCCTGCCCCCAAAAAAGATATACATCTAAGAATTGATTTTGGGAAGAAACTTAAATGATTTTCATTAAAGCAGTAATGAGCAGAGAGGTGTGGGGACAGTGGGCATGTTGGGGAACTAAACAAAGAAGGTGAAGGGAGGCCTTTCTGTGGAAAGCAGAGAGTATTCTCGGGCCTTATCCCAACATAAACATAAACAGCCCATCTTGTAGTGTAGAGGACTAGTAAGAGCCCTTGCTTATAATGTTTGAATATCAGATTGTACCTTGTGCTCTAAGCAGCTGTCATGATTGGAACATTAATGCATTATCAGAAAGCACGTTATCTCAAATACAGTTTGGAATAAAGTACAATAGTAACTTCCTTCCATTCAGTGTTTCCTGCATTCACTGTCATCTCACAGGCTATTAACAGACATTCTAATGGAAAACTGGTTCCACAATCAAGAGAATTTAAATACGCTTTTTCACTACAGAAACTTCCACCGTTTGTGTGTTTATATGTAGCCCACTCACTTCATTGAATCGGTTCCCGACTCATAACGACCCAAGATAGGGTTTCTGAGGCTGTAAATCTTTGCGGGAGCAAAAAGCCTCATCTTTCTCCCATGGAGTGCTGTGGGTTTGAACTGCTGATCTTGCAGCCAGCAATCCGGTGCTTATCCTACAGTGCCACCTTGGCTTCTTGCTTATTGTTACTGCTAAGTACCATCAAGTCAGTTCTGACTCACAGCAACACTATCTATACAGGGTTTCCAAGAAGCAGCTGGTGGGTGTGAATGAACCACAGCACCACACAAGACCTCACCTCTAAAAGGCAAGTGAAATAAGACAAGTTAACCATAAAACAAAGCAAAACAAAACACAAAAACATTGAGGTTGACTTGATTCTGACTTAGTGACTATAGGAGAGAGTAGAACTATCCCATAGTTTCCAAGGCTGTGATCTTATGGAAGCAGAATGTTACATCTTTCTCCCTCGGAGCAGCTGGTAGGTTTGGAATGCTGTCACTTTGGTTCACAGAAGAGCGCTTTACCCGTGGTGCCACCAGGGTTCCTACCTATTTAATAACCATGTTGTTTTTAAGTGCCGTTGAATCAGTTCCAATTCAGTAGTGACTCTGTATAGGGTTTCCAAAGAACAGCTGGCAGGTTTGAACCACCAACCTTGTAGTTCAAAGCAACCTTACAGTCCAGTGCTTAGTCTACATCGCTAGACCAGAATTCCTATTTAACCATGCTGCTGGTGTTAAGTGCTGTCAAGTCAGTTCCAACTCACAGTGACCCTGTATAGGAGTTCCGAGCAGTGGCTGGTGAGCTTGAACCACCAACCTTGCAGTTCAAATCAACCTTGCAGTCCAGCACATTAACCCGCAGCGCCACACCAGGACTCCTATTGAACCATGTTGTTATTGCTGTTAAGTGTCTTTGAGTCAGTTCTGACCCATAGAGACCCCATATAGAGTTTCCTAGGAGCAGCTGGTAAACTTCAACTGCCAACTTCCAGTTCAAACCTACTTTGCAGTCCAGCACATTACCCCACAGCACCACACCAGGACTCCTATTTAACCATTGTTGTTGTTAAGTGCCATTGAGTCGATTCCGACCCACAGCAACCCTGTATAGGGTTTCGAGGAGCAGCCGCCGACCTTGCAGTTCAAACGGGTTTGCAGTCTGGCACATTAACCCACAGTGCCACACCAGGGCTCCTATTTAACCATAGAAGCCCTAAAAACAAAGCAAAACAAGAACACTAACTAACTCACAAAACAAACCTGAGATATTCTTCCTAATCTAACAAAGCACAATTTCTACCAAGGAACTCTGAGATCTCTGTGAAGATATCAATATGGTAGTCACCAGTCACATGTAGCTCTTTAAATGTCAATGAAAATGACTTAAAATGAAAATGACATTCCTTTCCCCCTAGATGCTTATCAAGGGACCATAATCACAAAACTAAACCACAATTTACCTACTGGGATAGCCTGCCGGCTCTGTCTACAAAATTCAGTGATGATTGTGCTAACAATAACCCCATGTCCCTATAAGATTACACAAACTTTTAAGAATCACAGGAAAAAACTAAACATCATTTTTGTTATTTTCTAAATCCAAAATTAGAACTTATGGGATCCAAAAATATTAAGAAATGGAATCCCAAAGACAGCAGACTCCCCACCCCATTTCTTCACCCCTGCCCCGCGCCAACTGTCTTCTCTTGTTCTTGAGGAAAAATATTTGAGGAACAGTCACTTTTCTCCAGTGGTTCCTATACTCCCTCTGCCCCACTCCAACGAGCTCAACCCAGATGTGTTTCCTAACACCCAGCAGTACCCCACTTCCTTCAGTACTTTTTACCTGTGTGAGTGCGAAGATGAGCCTTGAGGTGGGAACTTTTGAAGTAGGTTTTCCGGCAGCCTGGGAAGTTGCAAACATAATTCCTCCTTCGGGAAAAGTCTACCTGAGGGGCATAGTTTTGGCTGGATGCAATGAACACTGGAGCAGGGGCAAGGGGAAGTAACTTGGTATTCCCAACAGACATTACACTAGAGGAGGTGGTGGCAGGTGGGGAGAGGGCACCCTGGGGGAGGACCAGCATCACAGTTCCCTGAGGCACGGATGGTCCCATGAACACAGGCTGGGCAACTGGAACAGTCTGGGGTAAGATGGGTTTGATACCTGTAGACACTTGGGGAGACTTCAAAAAAGCTGGTAGCATACTACTTTGTCTAGTCATGGGGATCATTTGGCAAAGGACAGGGGGATTGGGGATGGGGACAGAAATCAGAGGGGTGGCATTCCTTGGCAAGTCATTTTCATAATTCTTTGGTGAGCAGTTTTGAACTGTAACAGGCCACCCTGCCAGCTGGCCTTTATCAGTGGGGATCAAGCCACCAGTGTTGTGCAAACAAGGCTGACAGGATACCAAGTTAGTGTTGAGTAAACTGTTGCTGAAGTGTGTGTCCTGCAAAGCCTCACAATGCCTCAAACACTGTGCTTCTCCTTTGCTGGCTGCAAGTCCCTGTTCTTGTGTCTGGGCAGCAGAAATGTGGGCAGGAGCAGGACTCTCCCCAGTGTGGCGGATCACACTCATTACCACAGCTCTGCAGGGGCTAGGGGTTGGTTCCAGCGTCTCTAGCTTGGAACCAGGCAGTCCACTCTGCGTGTTCCTGCTCAGCACTTCAACTGCTGCAGCAGAGGCAGGAGCGATGGCTGTGACCACGCATGCTTTGGAATCAGTGACTTGGGAAGGAATAGATGTCCCTGTTGATGGTTCCATGAGATCGGGGCTTTGTGGAGGAGTCATACACTGAAAGAAAAAAAAAAAAAGTATTGTGTAAAAAAAGTTGTTCAGGTTAAATTTTTTAGAACTTGCTTTTTTCTCATTGCCCCCAATGCCTTTAAAAAGAAGTATCTAGAAATGGCTGGTCTAAGCCTGCTCACAACAGTACCAGTGGAGTTCCTGGCTACACAAGGTACTTTACTTTCTAGACTTCGCCTCACTATGCTGACCCATCTCCCCCTCACCCAGGCCACTGAAAACAACACATCCATTCCTTAGCTTCAGTGTAAGTAGTGCTAGTGCCCCTCCTCTACTGGACCTGGTCAGCTACTGAAATGAGCAATTAAAGCACTGGGACTTCAAATGAGAAAACAAATGAGAGCTTTTCAGATCCCCTCCCTCCCCCAATCCCCAATGCAAACAACTCCCAGTGGTAATCATTTCATAAACACTTATCTAGTATCTGCTAGCATCAGTCATCCCTGAAAAAAAAAATAACGACTCAGTGATTCTTTCAATCACCCTGGACCAACAATTTCATTGCACTGCCCTCCCAACAGTTTCTACTTATTGTCCGCCACCTTATTAGGACTGCGGTGAGATTCCTGCAGTCAGGCCACTACTTTTACAACCCACAGTTCCCTTCTTGCCTCTTTCCACTGCAGTCTGCCAGCTCAATTAGATGATCATTTTTAATCGTTAGTTCAACTTCTTCCAGCTGAGAAGCAATTCTCTAAGCAATTTCATAGCTATAAAAAGTTAGAAACACACACAACAGAGTGCTTTTCTGTAGCCAACTCCCAACTAAGAATTCTGCAGCCACAGGAAGGTAGAAGGTCCAGTATTTCAATGCACCCAAGACTGTCTGATGCTTTCTCTAGCTGCCACCCAGAAATCCTGGTCCTCCAGCAGGAAAGCTAAGCACCCATCCCAAGATTCTCACATCAATCTGTAGGCTGCATCCTGTGTATGTTTAAACCTGTGGCTAGCAAGTTATGATTCATCAAGGGAAAAAGATCACATTTTTCAGAGATAAAAGAAATCACATTTTCAAAAAATGAAAGAGATTTGTCTGTTAGGAGCCTTACAAGGGCATGGGATGCAGATTTCTTGCCAGCATCCAGTAAGCCTAACCAAAAGTTCTTCAATACATTTACTTGAAACACATTAACAACAACAAAGAAAACATCAACAACTTTCCTCACATCTTCTCTTACCAGAGTTGATAAAGAATGAAAGTCCTTTGGTAGCCCAGGTGCAGCGGTGTCCACCTGCACAGCAGTAGTGACATCCCCAGAGTCAGAGACAGGTGTGAGGGGTCTTATCTTTAACAGGTCCCCTTTCTGGGATCTTTGACCCCAGGAACTCATGCAAACAAGAACCTCAACAGCTTCAATATCCGTCTGCTCCAAGACGCTGCACGTAGACCGCTCGCTGTCATGCCTCTTCCTTTCCAGGATGGATTCACATATGTCCATGATGTCAACCTAAAGGCACCACAAGAGAACAGGGCTCTCAGTTTAGGTGAGAAACAGTGAAGTGTCATTCCCGATGGCATGCCATGTCAATAGGCACACCAGGAAGACAGATGGCACTGCCCATGCAGTGCGTACGAGACTCCATACATAACAAGCTGTTTTTTTCCAATAGTAAAAGGTGCTAACAGAACATGCATTGACCATTTTGCTTTTAAATTAATATTCTGAAGAGGAAAAATAACTGAACTTGTCTAGCAGGGAGTGTCCTCAAGATTATTTTTCTTTGGTAGATTAATAAAACTAATTCCAGATATGTAAGCCAAAGTCACTCCTCGGAAACCGAAAACAGGGCCACCATGGGTTGGAATTGACTTGACGGCACTTAACAATGAGCCAAAGGAGCCAGTGTGAAAAGTGTCCCACGGGGAGGATGACTCAATACTGAAGAGAGGTACTTTTGACCTCTGGCACTTCTGGACAGGTGAGATCAGAGCATGGCTCTTCTGCATTGGCATAACTGCCAGAATGAGATCCCTACAGTTACTTTTGGAGATTGCAGGGAATTTATCCTATCCCTGCTATGGCAGGGCATCAACACAAGCAGAATTTTTCAGGGCACTGAGCCTGAAAATCAAATCCATGATTAATAAGCTTTGTCTCTTACCAAAAACCAAACCAAACCCTCTGCCCTCAAATAAATTCTTACTCATAGTGACCCTATAGGACAGAATAGAAATGTTCCTTAGAATTTCCAAGGCTATAAATCTTTGCCACCAGGATTCCTTAAATCACTTGCTAGTGTCATAAGGAGCTCTGGTAGCATACTGATTAAAGTCAGACTGCAAATGTCAAGGTCAGCAGTTCGAAACTACCAGCTGTTCTGTGGGAGAGAGATGAGGTTTTCTGCTCCTGTAAAGATTTACAGCCTCAGAAGCCCTACGTAGGCTTGCTATGAGTCTGTGGCAAAGAGGAAGAACTTTACAAAAATCTGTCACAACCTAGGAGAAGGTATTTTCTCAGTACATCATAGCACCTCTTTACAGGTAAGATAGGGTAGTAGGGAAGTGGCTAGAATTATGCTGTAAGATATACACTGACTGGACTGCTAACCACAAGGTCAGCAGTTCGAACCCACCAGTCACTCAACAGAAGAAAAATGAGGCTTCTCTCCTAGGGTGGCTGTTAATCAGAATAGATCTACATCAGCAGGTTTGGTTTCTGGTTTTCTTCCAAAAGTAACTGTAAATTTATCAAGACCCAACTTTGCACTAAATGTTGTTGTCAGGTGCCATCGAGTCGGAACCAACTCATAGAGACCCCATGCACAGCAGAACAAAACAATGTCCTATCCTGGGCCAACCTCACTACCACTGCCACACTTGATGCCATCAATAATGCCACCTGGCCATAAATATCTCTTATTAAAACTTTGTACTGCCCAAGATTCCTACTCTTCCCTTTCCTTTCCCCACAAACCTGTGCAAAGATGCTTGGAAACTGCCTTTGCAAATGTCACTGCACTGTTCACATAACTAGGGAGTCCGAAAGAGCCCTGGTGGCGCTGTAGAATAAGTGCTGGACTGATAACCTCTAGGTTGGCGGTTAGGGCCCACCAGTGGCTCTGCAAGAGAAAGATGAGGGTTTCCGCTCCCTTAAAGACTGAGCCTCGGAAACCCCACACAGGGTCGCAGTGGGTTGGAATTAACTCCATGGCAGTGGGCTTGCATGTTTTTTAACCCATAAAACAAATAGTGGAGTCAAAGAACGTTGGAGTCACAGCCTGGGGCCTGCTCTGCCCACCACACAGCAGGAAAGGAGTGGCTCTCCGAGAGTCAGGAACAGAACCCAAGCCATCAGCTGCTGACTTGGTCCCCCAGACCCGCCTCTGGCTTATCAGACCTCTTGCCAAGCCCAGTGTGCCCAATGTCAGCCTTGCTGACCTCCCCAGGCCACCAGGCCCAGCACTTAAGGAGCGGCCTTAAGGACCAAGTCGGACAACTGCGCCCAGAGCAAGGAGGGCTCACGCGACCTTAAGCTCCACTCTACTCCACAGCAAGTGCCCCACCCCAGCCCCGCCAGCGTGGGGCGTCCCCGCCAGCCGCGCCCAAGCCCCAAAGGCCACCCCCTCCTTATTAGGGCCCAGATGACGTCATGCCTGGAAATAGCCCCGCGCGCCCGAGGGCCGGGCGGGGGCGGGGCCGCCTCTAGGCAGCGCGAGACAAAGCTGCGCATCCGGACGGCCAGAGCACACACACCCCTCTCCTCCGCTGCCCCGCCCCGGCGCGACCCTGAGCGGTGGCCCTCCCCAGCTTGCCCCCTTCCCTGCCAGGGCAAGCAGCCCAGAGTGCTGAGTCTCCATTCCCCAGCCCGCCAGGGACCCTAATGGTGTGGATACGGGGAGAGGCCCGAGCATCTTTTGCGGGCACCGCCCGGCCACTGCCCGCGCGCCCTCCCGCACGTCCCGGCTAAATGGCACCCACAAAAACTGCTGCATCGCGCCCCTCACACTGCACCTCAGATGATGCTTCCTGTCATACAACAGCCCCAGTCACTCACCGCGCTCGTGTCGCCCGGGCCGGCTGGACCTGAAGTGTGCATGGTGCCGGCCGTCAAGATGCAACAAAGCGGCCGCGCAGCGTGTGTCTGGCGCCTGGCGGAGGCTGTACATGTGTGGCTGGGCGGCTCCGACCCGGACTCTGCACCAGTGCTGCGGCGAGCTTCTACTGCCAGCGCGTGCGCCTCCGCCAGCGCCTTACTGTCCCGGTGCAGCCCTCGAGGCACGGGCAGGGGCGGGGCGGGGCGGGGAGCAGAGGGGGTACAGGAGGCCGGCCAGGGGAGGGAGCTGGCTGGAGAGGGGCGGGGCATTCAGTCAAACCAAAATACACCGCGCCCCGCCTGGCAGGCAGCAGGTCTTCGGTCAGCCAATCCGCGCTTGGCCCGTGCGTGCTGGCCAATGAACGCTGCGGGGAGCCGCGTGATCAGAGCCTGGCCGCGGCGTGATCAGGCAGGGCGGGATGCGGCACGTGTTTTGGTCAGAGTGAAGGGGCGGGGCTTGAGGCCCTGGAAAGTAGGGGAAAGGTCCCGGCGGCGGCGGCGGCTATGGGCTATGGCGGGAGTGTGGCGGCAGAGGGGGCGGCTCAGAGGCGGCGCCGCTGGATCCGGGGGAAGTCCCCGCTCTGAGATGCGCTTGGCTGGACTCTGGAGGGGGAGAGAAGTGGTCACGCTTAAAGGGGCCTCTCAAATCCTGTCCAAACGCTTTTAAAGCTATCTGCAGATCGCCGGAGTGTGAATTCATCCATTAGAGATGATCTTTTTGTTTATAAGTTTCAGTTATCCTGGCTCTGGAAAGAGGTTTGAAAGCTGGTTGGCCATAGGCGACGTTCCTGCAATTGACTCATTCCATCCCTATGATCTGGAAGAGTGGTGGAAAAAAGGGACCTGGCGTCCAGAGCCCAAGCTTCTGCCAGGGACGCCCCTTCCCTGGTGTCACTGGGCAGGGGAAGCCAAAATTGCTAATACAAATGTGCTTGGTGAAACTCAACAACCGCCTCCTTCTCCTCTAAGAGGTTGGTGGGTTTGAACTACCAACCTTGCTGTTAGCCACCCAACGCCTCACCCACCACAGTGCTACCACGACTCCTTCCTCATTCCCACAGCACCTTTGTTCCCTGTACTTAAGCTAGCAGTGCCTATGTGTGTGGTTTGCCCACTTCCGTTGTTCTTAAGTTCTTCAGCGTTGAGTTGCACCCGACAGCCCCCAATTCAGAATGTGGCATTCTTTCATTCGTACACATTTACTGTGCTCTGGCATGGGCTGATGGCCCCTGTTGTTGTTAACTGCCTTTGAGTCTATTCCGTCTCACAGCTCCTCTGTATAGAAACGTTTTTCAAGGACTGGCTGGTGGGTTTAAACTGCTGGCCTTGTGTTTAGTAGTGCAGTGCTTGCTTACCTTACAACGGCACACCAGATTCCTGGGTGGTGCAAAACTGTTAGAGATGTACTGTTAGCTTCTTGACTGTCAGGAAAGTTGTCAGTTGGAACCCACCTACAGGCATCACTTTATAAAGGTTACAGCTTTGAAAATCCTACTAAAGACTTCCAGCAACATGGCTGGCTAGGCACAAGTACTACGTGGAACAAATGCAACAAAGATACGAGAGACCAAATAAAACAGACACAACTTAAAATTCAGGCACCCTAAAACTTCAGAAGAAAGATTAGAAAGGATAAAGTGCTTGCTGGGAGGAGAGGCCACGCAGCAATGGTGAGAGAGAGAGAGAGACTGACTGGTGAATGGATGGACAGACACTGCTCTACCATCTTTGAGCAACTTTGGTAGCTGAGGGAGACCTGACACAGCAGATTTACAAGGGTAGCATGAAAGGTACAGTTTCTTCTTGGTGACCAACTCCCATCATCATCCACCCCCAGTACAAACCTTGCTCTCCAGGAATTTGGAGCCATGTGGTTGTGGGCCAGTCATACTGCTTTGGTATGCCACTTTGGTGTCTGGATTCAGATGGGCTTGGCTCCAGTCCTACAAAACCCACAAAGCCATCAGACGAGTGTTTAACCAGTTACCCTGCCCCTAGCTACCCTGTGGTCCTAACAGACACTGAAACCAGCTCTATCAAGTGTCCCCATGAACTACTTCCAGACTGAGTGCACAGAACATCGACAACTCTCAGGTCAATAGGAACTCCATCTAGGACCAGGAACTCTTGTCACAGCCCTTCCACAACCACCTTGCAAGCTCCTTGAATTGTAGGAGCCCCTCTCTAAGTCCAAGAACTGCACTGTTTGTTTTTACAAATACAATAATCCCACAATGCCCCAGAGAGAACTTTGGACTGTTAACTCATGGGAAGAAAAAAGAGAAAATGGATCAAACAAATGACTAAGATACAGAGACAGAAAATATTTCTGAGGAAAAAAAGGTAATGGAACTGAAAAAGAATTTAAAAGAATGATTATTTTGGTACCTTCAATAGACAGAAAGATC